CGCAAACTGTTGGCACTATATAAATCCTCTATAATAAGAATAATAATAATACTCCCAGCTTGATGTTGTGGGTGTTATAAAAGTACCTATCATGGACTTTAGGTATGTACATTGGCAGTATCTAGAAGTGCGTGTGATCATACTAAATGGATTCAAATTCAGTTTGAAGTTTCCGTTTGCCAGGATGGAAATAGTTTTAATAAATGTAAAATTGATGACTCCTCATAGTCGTCTAATAACAATGCAATTTATCTTTTTGATCCCTGTCGTCTGGTCAATAGTTCATTCACCACATCGTCAGGATAATTGAGGTTCTTCGATTTAACATTACACTGGGGATTCAGGAGTTTTAATGTACACTGAGACATTAATGGAGATGTAAAATTAGATGGATGGGAAACGTTCATTGCCTTGAACACTTTGAGATGGTGATCGATAGGCCGGTCCATGGACATTTAAAGTGAATGTTTCCTCCCCATGCACTGGCGGAGCAGCCATTTTGTATGAAAGTGGATCTGTCTTGGAGATGCCATTTACTGGCCTCCTAAAAATTCTAGATACCAGATTTCAATACTTTTTATGAGTAAATGAGCGTTCCTTATCTCTATAATTGTTCCAGGTCAGCTACTCATACAGTATTGAAGACAAAGCATGAGAATGGCATCCAGGCAACTAGTGTTCTTAAAAAGTCAGCAATGACGGCCTTCATTATTTTTTAATGACAGATTCCCTTTACAAAGGCCTTAGACATTAGTGAAAGGTCAGAGGTGTATGAATCTGATGCCTCATGGTGTCTTTTGGCCCAACTACCTGTAAGAGACTTACCTGCAGATTGACTCCTGCCCAAAAACGTGCATGCACACAAGCATGCAATCCGCTGCTGAATGTTCCTGGTAAAAGTGCTTTAGCACGTGGACGCGTGCGTATGGGAACGTTTATGTGCAATAGCGCACACATGTGAGCGAACCGAGGCGCGCTCGTAAGCGTTCAGGCGCACGCTCATTAGCATGCACACTATCCTATATAAACTGACAAGAAGCCATGACCAAGTTGCTGAGTGGCCTTCAGCTAGTCCCTGTGTGCCCTGTACTCTGTTTCAGTATCCCGATTTCCTGTGCATGAACCCGGCTTGTGACTATTTGACTCCGCTTTCTCATTCTGATTTGGTACCTCTGCTCTCTGATCTCCTGTGTATGACCCTGGCTTACGTTTCCTGACCCTGCTCCTGATCTTTGATTAGGCAGCTCAAGATTCGGCTCCCTGGGTGTGACCTTGGCTTGAACCTGACTTCCCTCCTGGTCTGCCACTTGGTGGATCGCTCCATCAGCATCCTGAGCAGCTACATCCAGCCAGCTCTCTGTTGGCCTCACACCTGTTGCCTGCTCTGGTTTCAAGAGGTCCCGGTGTCATCCCGGTCCTGCCGATTCACCAGCTGGTCCAACGCACTCAAGCGTCTCCTCGAGAACAGGCCAGCCACCAGTACCGGCACACTGTACCCACACTGTCCTTACATCCCCTGTCACTACTTCCAGAGGCGTGGGATGAGAGGTGCAGCCCCCTTCTCAGCTGAGTCTCCAGTCAGGTACATGATACTACCCCTCTTAACTGGGGTGCTGTAGTTGTATGAGGGTTCTGGTATTGGAGGGGGGCATCAACCTTTCATTAACAATTACATTTTTATCAGGGAAGATGCTTCAGCTAATAAAAGAGCTAGGAGAGCCAGATAGGTTAATTAATTTTACACAATTTAGATCTAAGGGAAATTGAGTGAATGCTGACTTGACTTTAATTTTTTTGCAGATAGCATTGGCAGTTCATTGATTACTTAATTGATCATTTATAGCTTCCCTATCCTCCAGCATATAATATTATTGCTATAAACTATGGCATTATACCCCACAGAGACTACACAAGCTCTTTCCTGTGATTCACCCATAATGCTGTAGATGCCACACTGTCATAGGCACTGTTGTGCACATATTTTGTGAATGCCCATGTATAGAACCATAGTGAGCCAAGGCCATTAAACTGATGGATGATGTCAGTGGCAACCAAATCTTGAGATCCAGCCCCCCTACCCTACTACTACCCTTAATTAACAGGACTGTAAGGACCTACAAATCTTCCATGCTCGTTCCATGCTCGTTCATATTACTGTCCTCAGAATCTGGAAACAAACTATTTCTCCCTCTCCTAGAGACGGATACAAGAAATGAACCACATTTAAGAAATGGGAAGAACTCACTCATTCCTTATGAGATACTGAAGAGAAATGTCATATCTGGATACACATCAACAAATACCTATAAACTCATAGTGACCAATGATATATTCCCAAAGCTCCATCCCTCGAACCTAAGCCTGCTGAGGCTAGTCGCTACACTTATAAACCCATGCCACCCCATTGAGGGTAACCACCCCCAATTAAACTCCTCAGCACTTGCAACAAACCCTCAACCAAGCCTCTTTTGTTGAAGCAGGCAATCAGTTTCCTTTCTAGCTAGCATTTCATACTCCAACTTTTACTCTTTTTCAACTCCTTTTTAATTCTGACATTTCAGAAATGTATTTTACTGTGGATCCTGAGTTCAGACACCTCTGTTTACACAATAGTATGTACCTATACAACATACCACTATGGGAAGACAGTCTCCTCTGGACCGTACCCAGACTTACCTTTTTTCCATGTATTCTCAACTTGAAATTTAACAGTATACATTGCAATGTCAGTGTATCCTTTTTCTATAACCTAACTTTATATTATGTGGAATGCAACTAGAGATGCTGAAACACACAAAGGTGGGTACACAGGTAGACCGAAATAATGCCGAATCTACCAGATACCAAATCAGTCAATGACATTTGAAATGAACACTTTCTAGGACATATAAAAAAAAAAAAAATATTATGAGCTGTTGCTGTGAGCATCCTAGATGTAAACTGTAAACATATCATGTTCCATCATGACGTTTTAGAGGTTCCTTCAATTTTTTTGCTTGATCAAAGTCTTTACACATATCTTAATCTTCTCTTAATGACCTCAACATTAAACATCAGCCCGGGTCAATATTGTAATCTACAGTAAAGTTCTTCCATTATGCTAAGTGACTAAGTGACTGTAGTCATTAGCAGGGTTGGGCTTCATGTCTGAGCCGCACGTGAGTTTCGACTCGAACATCGGCAGTTTGTGTGTTCGGTGACAGAGAACAGCGAGAGCCATGATTGGGCAAAGTCATGATGACTCTGCCCAATCATGGCTCACCCTGTTACAACTGTAAATATTTGGACGGAGCTAGCTGTCCCTGCTCGCTCCACCCAAATGTTTATATGTTACCGGCATCTGTCAAAATGCCTTTCTACTGCGGGTGTTCGTCGTGAGTGAACAGGACAGCGGTCGTTGTTTTTAAAAAAATGACTTCTATTTATTTTTTATTGTTTTATTTTTTATTTCGTCTCGTCATCGTGGACAACTCTGGACATCGTGATTTCTTTTCCTCACAAATGTCAATTTTTCTGCAGCAGGTTCTATACATCGTACAGATTTGCCACTTTACAGGCAGGGTAAGGGGACCCCCCAGGCACGTAATTTAAAGGAATTTTTCATTTTCATTGTTACCCTTTAAGTGATGTTAAAATCACTGCTCCTTTAAAACTGTATTTTTAAAAAAGTTTTTCTGTTCATTGATGACATGTCCCTTGGGGCAGTACATGGATACCCATACACCTTTTATGGCCAATTAATTGCATATAAGGCTTCAAAATGGGGACATTTGATTTTCAATGTTCTACCCCCATGGACTTGGTTCGAGTTTGAATACGAACTTTCCCCATGTTCGAAAGTTCGAATTCAAACTGAACACAGGGGTGTTCTGCCCGTCACTATTCATCATCCCCAGGCCTCTGAAGATGGCAAAGAAAGGCCTCCTATCCATGGGTAGAGCTCTGAGCCCTAGGCATTGTAAACCAACAACCATTCTACATGTTCGGGAGTGGGTTAGTGAACTCAACAGCATTATGAAGATGGAGGACCTAATAGCTCACCTAGAGGGAATCTGACCCAAGATGAAGTGCCAGGGAGAGTGACTCTGTTGGAAGGTGAGGTTTGGTTAGAAAGTGAATATTTTCAGGGGCCTGGTAACTCTCTTGGGAGACCGCTTGAAGAGATCAACTAACCAGCTGAAGTTCTCTAATGTACGGTGCTTCTGCAATCGGCTTAAAGGCTCTCTGCACTGCATAGCTGGGAACTGGATATGAAGTCTGGAGGCCATACTTGTCCTGGATGCCTATAGCCCTCATCTCTCTCTCTTAAGTGAGCTGCTGAAGGAAATTCTTTAAAACACGCTAAAATGACTGGCACCTAATTTACATTGGCACCCCACAGTCAGCTAAGGACTTACCCCTAAGATGAAATGTTAGCCTACCCTGTCGCTGGGGTCCCTTACAGGCCTTAGGGGTCAAGGGGGTGATATATTAGAATTTGAAATACTTGATTTTTGTGCTTTTACCTGCATTTTTTTTTTAAAGTTGGTGAAAGGATCTTTTTAAGTATGTTTTTTTAAAGTCAGAATCCACCATTTTCGGCCTACCAATTAAAAACCTTTAAGGGCTTTACTGCTAAGCCTGAGCTACATACTCCCAATGCCCCATTAGTGGTATCAAAATGTTAAAACAAATAACAAAATAAAGCAGATGTATGTAGAAACATTAAGTTTTAATTTATAATAATCATACAATGTACCGTACATTACATAATATATTTTAGGCAGTAAAAACATATTTTATAAAACAGTCTTTGTCCTTTATTAGCGGAGTTCTATGTCCAGTCCAAGTCAGTAGTGCCGCCCAGCAATGGAAGTGCCCTTTTCCTCCTCTAGTATTTGGACTCTTTATAACTCTATGCAGAGAGTTCAGCAGGCCTTTCAACAGACACTGCAAAGCGCCATTATTCGGTCAAAGTCACTGATTACTTCGCCTCCATTCAGTACATGTGACCCGTATTTTTGTTGATCCTCAGTGGCATCCACATTCCTCTACAATCATATCTTCATGGTGCTTCATGACCACATCTCCATCTTCATACATTAGCATGGACAAGGGTCTCATCTTCACCGGGACACAGGAGGAGCATTCAGCTTTCTCTGAATTGTAAAGCTTCACCAAACTCTGTAAAACAAACAGGAAAATATGTTAATTTCTATATCTAGATTACAATTATCGGTGCACAGTAGGAGTGAGAGCGTTGTTTCACAGCCCAATAAATAGTATACATATCCGTGATCAAATGATCATTTTACAAAACCCAAGTATGCAGGCGCTTGAGAGAGGTGACCCTTAGACAATATGAGGAATTACATTGGATGAGGTCTCATTTAGGTGGTTTTCGCTGGCATCATTTTATGGTTAGGTGACTTAAAATTGGACAACCTATAAAAATCCATTGCACAAAATCAATTGATCCCTAAACAAAGGCTGCAACAGTAATTCAGTTAAATGCTTTCTTGGATTTACCCAAGTTTGGACTTCACTTCATTTGAGTTTGACATGCTTGCCCTAAGGACTAAGCATTTCTCACACTCCTCTAAAGATCCACCAAACCCATAATAAGAAAATCTATATATACATTATATAATATAGAAAGCACTACTGATATATTTTCTGCCCATCAATTCTTCCTACACTGCCATCTGTCTAATGGCACCCATTATAAGGACATAAGGAATGGCACCCATTATCAGGACATAAGGAATGGCACCCATTATCAGGACATAAGGAATGGCACCCATTATCAGGACATAAGGAATGGCACCCATTATTAGGACATATGGAATGGCATCCATTATTGAGAAATATTTGTAAAAGGCAAAGACATTTATCAGAGAAAAAAAAAGCACTTACCGTAATGTAGGCATGGTTGGTTGGTTTGAACATCTCACTCAAAGGAATGGGACAGGCTCCTTCACATCTGTAGGCATTGAACTTCTTGGGGTAGATAACCAGGTTCCCCCACCCGAACTTCTCAAAGTCCACCATCATATCAACCCTTCGGCACAGGGGTTTTCCATTTTCTATGGTTCTGGATGGGAAGTTGTTCATCAAGATGCTGTGTTTTATGTTTCTGTTCTTCCTTTGTTTCTTAATACCTTGTTCGCTTGATGTTTCTGGTGTCATCACATATTTAGAGGCCTCCACTGTTTGGATGAGGTTGGGATATCCATTGACTTTGGCAGAAGGATTATCCTTGGTGAACACCATCAGTACAACTCTGTCAGTAGATATGTCTGTGCAGCTGTTCTCATGATCCCTCTGTGTTGAGCCTTCGCCCCCTGTGAAGTCTTCATAATCGGAACTGTGATGCCGGGGGAGAGAAGTATTCAAAATTTTGGTGAGGTTGAAGACTTTCCAGGAGCCACCCAGTGTGATAGAGGAATCAATGTCAAAGGATCCCAGACGCAGGCTCTTGGAACCTTCTTTGCTGTGATAGACCTGCAGTTCCATATCTTGTGTTTTCTCTGAAGAAGGAAGGTGAATCCTTAGCTCTGCCAATCGAATCTCAATACTGCTTGAGAGAGAGGACATGTCAAAGTAGAGGGATCGATGATTGCCCTTCTTGGTGCATCCTGGGGGAAAACAAAAAAAAAACCAACATAAATATCACTATAATGATAAAAAAACAGACTTAGCTATTACAAAATATAAACATGTGGTGGAAATATTTAAATATATTGTATACGGAATACAAAGCACTATCCTTTAATGGGACATTGGCATTTAATATAAACCTTTAGGTTGTAGGCTATGTGTGTCAAACAGTTAAGGCAAATCTGTCACATGCGAGGCAAAACCAGAGTGTTTTAAAGAAGAGAAATTCTACAAAAATAAATTTACTTGTTAAATTAGTACTATCACTGTTGGGTAATCAGCAGTAAGACATGAATGGTTTTGTTGACCTCAATAGATGGCCACCACCTATAATTGGTGGAGAAAAGATTTAACCACAAGGGGCATAGGTGCTTCTACTCAGTTAGAGCGGTTAAAGTCTGGAACTCGCTGCCACAAGCAGTGGTATCAGCTGATAGTATTGAATCATTCAAAAAGCATTTAGATACCTTCCTTAGAGACCATAACATACAGGGGACAGGTACTCTTAAAAACAAGATTACACAGGGGCTCGTGCACACACACACACATGTACAATTACACAGAGACACACAATGGTTGAACTCGATGGACCTGTGTCTTTATTCAACCTCAAATACTATGGAACTATGTCATTAAAATGCCTTACGTAACAAGCACCCAATAAGCTGCGTAGAGACTGCCTGGACATGGAACAATTGAAACTGCTCTAAGCCTGTTCCTAGGAAGATAATATAGCTCATCCAGAGTGAAACGACAGTTACATTTTAAGTAATACATTAATTAATAGTGTAGCAGTTGTGTACTTACTTTTAGCAGTGAGGCTTAGGACGGTGTCTGAGTCTTGAAGGACGGAATGCTCCAGGGTGGACAGACCCGTGTCGTTGCCCATAATGAGGGTCTGATAGAGCTGCATCATGAAAGGCGAGTACTTCATATTGTGAGAGTAGGCTTGTCCATCCAGACTGCTTGAGGTTCTTAATCCGTGATTAGATTGCTGAAGAGGAATTCTTTTTTGGTTTGCTTGCAGAAAAGCCGGCAACCCCTGAACCATGGAGATGGTTGTGAGGTAGAGGAGAGCCTTCAGCCATGCCATCTCTTCTCGGTTCTTCTGCACTCTCTCTCTTGATGTGTTGCGTCTCAGGAGATGTTCCTCGGTGGATCTCCAAGACTGAAGTGAGGTCCTCAAGATTCCCTCATATTTTATATGGTTGGCTGAATAGGTTCCATGTTCACACCTATGACCTTTCATGTCATTGACCTCAACATCAAAGGCTGTCAAGGTAACTGTCAGGTGTCAAGTCTTCCCTTTCAAGTCAGTAACACATGTACAAAATCATCATGAGGTGTAATAATTTGCTGAAAGTGTCAGGTGAACAGAAACTAAAATATCTTTTTTTTTTAAATGACACAGGGAACATACTGTAAAGATCATATTTTATGGAACCAACTGAAATTTTGTAAGTAAGTATTAAACATTATACATATATATTAGTGGCATTATAATTTGGGATAGTATTGCCTATACTGAATAATATTAACAGGGTTATTCACAGAAGGGTGAAGAGTTTGGAGAAGGCAGGAGAAGAGAACAATCTAGGACAACATAGCTGAACCGGAAAGTGATCTGAATTGGAGAATTTGTCCATATCAGCTATTCTGGCCTAGATTGTTCACTTCTCCTGCCTTCTCCAAACTCTTCACCCTTTTGTGAATAGCCTTCTAAGTCAAACTATAGGAATAATAGAGATTTAATGGGATAAATTGAAGTTATATTAAGTATTTGCATTAAGTATTATTTTGTATTAAGTATTGATTAAAAGACAAGGCTCCCGTCCAGCATACTAATCATCATCATCAAATTTATTTTGCACATGCCACATACCATACAACAACATTTTAGCACACATTGTCAGCTTTTTATATGACTTATGTTGACTAAAATTTTAAAGATCATCCTCACTCCTAGTTAATCACATTATATATTTTAGAGATAAACAGATATACAGGAAAAATTTAATTGTGGTATAATGCCATAAAAATACACATTTCCTTTTATGATTTTGACTAAGCAAAGGTCAATAAAAATCCCCTGCCATAATTTTTCACCATTAATTCTGTAGCAAGTCCAATACAATAAAAATACTTACATATCTAAATATAGATAAAAGTGGAAAATTCACTAATAAGTGTATTCCATACATTTAGAAGAGGAATAACCATTTGAGGCTACCTGCATCATAATGAAGTACAATGAACTACCTATTAGCTCTAATAGTTTATTTGTAAACATTTGCAATACTAAAAGTCAATGTATATGCAAATTTAGGTTCCATTAATGACCTAATAAATTAGTTTACGGTTGGACATTCTTTAGTTTGTTACTTTAGAAATGAAAATATATGCAATTCTAAAATTGTGCTATAAAATGGAATTTGATTCAATAGTGTCTTTCAAAAAAGAAATTGTTTAAAAGGAACGATCAAAATGAAACGTGACTTAGTTTTAAATAATATTGATATATTTACGTTTAAAAATTTAATGTTGTAAATCTTCAAGGCAAATCCACATGTACCTATAGCAGAAACTTAGGTATTCAATGTCTCTTTGATCCTCTGTTGTTGTAGACAGTGATGGAATACACAAAAATCAATCATTTCATGAGATCAACATTTAACACCTTACTTTAACACATCGTACAACATGAAATGAAATAAGTGTGATCGTTTTCCTTTTATTGTTGGATTAAAGGACATATGTGTTTGACATTAAAGGACTAATCCATTCCAACAGTGAAACCTCTGGGTTATCGTGAAAGTAGACAGTATTTCCAGCACACATTTTAAGTTAACTTTGTTCAAATTAAAATTTGGAGTGATGTCTGCTGTTATTATTATAATGTATTATTATTATTATTATTACATAGTATTTATATAGCACCAACAGTTTGTGCAGCACTTTACAATATAAGGAAGACATTACAATCACAATACAATTGCAGACAAGATGATAAGGAGGGCCCTGCCCCTGAGGGCTTACAATCTAAAAGGGATTATTATTATTATTATTATTTATAACTTACTAATAGAAACAAGGTAGATTAACTACTTCAGTCACTGTCCACAACTATTCAGATAGGATCAGCCAAACAAATTGTTTTCAGTCCGTCAGCCGACTCATAGACTTTCATTGACAGAAGGAGCTGTAAAGCACAACCATAGTGTAGCGCTGCAAAGCAGAGCCTTAGTATGTCATTGGCAAATATTGCTGCCCGTGTACTTATATAATTCATAAATATAAACATAGTTTTGTCAACTTTAAATTGATAAGAATTTTTAAGTCAAGTTTATTTCTTTTACATGTGTATCAAAAAAAATGAATACAATGACACTACATGACATTTTTGGGCATATTCCCACCTGCTGCACTATACAGGCATTAACAAACAACATACCATGCAGGTATTAGCTTTTTGCAGTACCATTAATTTTAAATGTCACCCAACACACTGAGGCGATCCCTTAAGACTCATCTCTTCAGGGAAGCCTATCCCGCCGCAACCTAACCACTCAACCATCACGTTCTCAGACAATCCATCCCCACACAGCTACCTCCTCATTTATCACTTGTCTCTCCCTTTTAGATTGTAAGCTCTCAGGGGCAGGGCCCTTGTTACCATCTTGTCTTGAATGGTATTGCAAGTATAATGTCTTCCTTATATTCCTTATATTGTAAAGCGATGCGCAAACTGTTGGCGCTATATAAATCCTGTATAATAATAATAATAATAACACACTGAGGCTGTAAGGCACTACAGTGGGTTGTGGTGAGCTACATTAGGAAAAATGTGACTTGTCCATTTTATGGTCCATTTTGTTGTGCTAACAGCCCTTTCAAAGGGAATAGGCTACCTTATCATGCGAGTTAACGTGCATACGACAATGCACCACACCAAAGCGGACCCAGGGCCATATTACCATTTTGGGTGCTTGTAGGCATGAATGGAAATCTGTTAAGCCTGTGCCAGCACCCTTACCTGCTGTGGGACCTGCCGGCTTTTCCATATGCAGAGAAGGACCCCAGTGTCGCGTAAGAGCTGTCCACATCAGACAGGCATTTTACAGGGCAGCCGTATGCAGCACCGGTGTCCTTCCCCTGCATTTGCAGAAGCCGTCGGTTCCTGTAGGCGCCGCTGGTCTTGGAGCAGAAGGGTGCATTCAGTACAGAATGAATGGTCCTGAGTGGGATTTTGGGAGGTAAAGCCATTGCATCTCTTATGTACACATGTCTGGTAGAAGAATGGTCAACCATGCACCCACCATGAACAACACAGTTCATGGTGGGTGCAGGTTAGGACTGAGGTCCTGAGTTCCCTAGGTTTTGTGTACAAATGTCTGGTAGATGAATGGTCTCTGTTGTCCATGGTGGGTGCAGGTTAGGACTGAAGTTCTGCGTTCCCTAGTTTTTGTGCTGTTTTGCTCCGGGTGCTCTGGTATCCTCCTGCAATGCAAAACATGCCAAAAGGTTTAGCTAGTAGTACTAAGTCACATTCAACTGGAGTTGTTCTATAGTGCTGAAGATGGTTTGTCGCTTATCCAACCTGCTAGAAATGAAGTAGCCACTCGGATAACCTGGAAATGTATTCAACATTAGAGCACGAATCCAGATAAATGTGACTAACTTCTACTAGCTATACCAAGACCAAGACTAAATGAGAACTTTTAAAGACATACCAGGAGGTTCATTGGCTTCTAAAAACTAGCTGGTTATACTTTTCAATTTCAATGTTCACCAACTCCAATGGATGCCGACCTGTAACCTATATCATGTTAACAAAAGGTATCTAAATAGACAAAATCCAAAATATGGTTACTTAAAGGCCATGTATCCATTACCTGGGTAAAAATGAATTTTCACAGACATACCGGGAGGTTGACTGGCTTCTAAAAGCTAAATGTGACTACTTCTCAAACTCACAGGGTTATCACAAAAGGGTGAAGAGTTTGTAGAAGGCAGGAGAAGGGAACAATCTAGGACAAAATAGCTGATTTGAAAAAATTCTCCAATTCAGCTCACTTTCCAGTTCAGCTATGTTGTCCTAGATTGTTCACTTCTCCGGCCTTCTCCAAACTCTTCACCCTTTTATGAATAATCCTCATAGTGTTCACCAACTCCAATGGATGCCGACCTATAACCTATATCATGTCAACAAAAAATACCTAAATAGACAAAACCAAAAAAGGTTACTTCAAGGTCATGTGCAAATGAAGACTTTATTAGTGAAACATATATTAAATATATAGTTTTGTGGATTTAATATTTTATTTTATTCTTTTGTAATTAAGTAGAGCTTCTTAAACTGCACATGGCCCTTTGATAAGCATTTTTTGGCTTTGTCTATTTAGCAAAATTTGTGATCAATATTTAAGTGCCCCTATAGGCTGTGGCTATTTTTCCTGACTACCTTCTTCTTCTTAAAGGCCTACTATGGTCCTTCATCCTATTAGAAGTGACCTCGCTCCACCAGGTATTGAACTTACAGCCAGTAAGTATTTCTCATTAGGACAATATGGCTGTCACAACCCCACCCTTCTACATTGGAATGACTGGAGAAGTTATGGATTGAGGTTGTGACTAGAAATGAGGGCAATTGAGAGTTTCAGATTTCCAGAATATCGAGAGATTTTAATATAATTTTACCATTCTGGCAGAATGCATTGGAGTCAATGGGAAAGATGAAATCAAAGTGGTTGCAAACCCTGAAGCTTTCTCCACAACTCTCAGTAGGTTACGTCACCAGACATCGATATATCGAGCACAATTTTTGAGAAAAGGCTCATAAACATCATTATTTTTTTTCTTGTAATCAGGTTGCATTACATGACCCTAGTTATTGGGCAGGACTGAGCCAAAGAGCAGCATGTGGACGTTGCTGCAGCTTATTCACTTCTTCCTCCCCAGGCTGGGAAGAGTATACTGTGCAACACAATCACAGTGATGTTTTCTGGAGGGGCCACTGTCATTCAGGTGCTCTGCTCTACCTAGTCAGGCAGTGCAATGTGTGATGTAGGCATCTGGGAGTATCAAGGGGTGTACAAAGTCCTATGTAGACCTTTTTTATTTTATACATCTCCAGAGCGTGCACAATGCGGTGACAACGCTGCAGAGGCTAGATGAGTCTGGAGATCATTTCCACCTGAAACCAGGAAGACCAACTCCCTTTCAGGATCAA